AACTTCAACAATACTTCCTGACTGCAGTTCAATTACTCATTACCTACACACACATTCTCCCATCACGTTGTCACCATCTTATATATACCAGACCACCCCCAATTTAACAAATGCTAGAGCACTCCCGAAGGAACAGGATAGTTCTAGAAAATAGGTGGCGTGACACTAGTCACGTGACCTCGCTGATGCAACAATATTCACATCAGATGCTAATATTATATCTAACATAGCTTCCTCTCTTGTAGGTTCCATCAACAGCTGGTGTATAAAAGTATCCTGAACAATTGCCCAAAACCTATCTCCCTCACTGTCAAACTCAAAATTTTCCAAAATAATACCCCTGAAATTAAAATCTCTCATAATAATAACATCTTTTTCAGCTACCACTGATCTCATTATACAGTTTCTAATTAACTTCAACATTCTGACCTGGTGGTCTATAACAAATCCTAATTACAAGACTTTTCCCTTTATATCCACTAACACTAACCCAAACTGATTTAACCTCAGTGCAAGTTTCTTTAATATGCTCTAACTCAACAGGATGTAATTTACTCCATACATATAAAGCTACTCCTCCACCTTTTTTTCAATACCCCATCTCTAGTAAATAAGCTGTAGCCTGGTATTTCAAAAAGATTTCTCTCATCAAAATTGTTCAAATCCAACCAAGTCTCAGTGATACCAATAATAACAAAATCCTCAGTTTTCACAACTGCTCTGAGCTCATCAGTTTTATTTCTAATACTCCTAGCATTACAATAGTAACAATTAATCATAGATTTTAAGTTACATTCATGTTTTATGCCTGTTGTACATGTTTTCCTGTCAATTATATTTCCTATTTTACTAATATACTCTTAAACAAGGTAGGGGCTAGCATGTTAGCAAGGGCTATTAACTCAGCTGTAGTGGGAGATTTAAACTGGGGCTAGACAGAAGTGAGGGCTATGAGCCATCCATTACAAAAAGATTAATTTTTCCATTAAAATTATCCCACAAATCCAACCAACCTATTTGCTCATCCCTACATATTGATCTAAGCCTTGTATTAAATCCTAGTGACCTACTTAGTATCTCATCCCCACAATTTATTCTTGGCAACATTCCTGACAAAATCAAGTTATGACCCCTTTTCTTAAATGCCCTTATCAATGTTTTACGCTTATCAGTAAGCTACTCAGATCCATCTTTCCTTACATCATTAGCTCCAATATGTACCACAAAACCTGCATTGCTACTAACATCCTTAACTATCTCTTTAGTTCTACCAGTTATATCCTGTACTCCTGCTCCTGGCGCGAGGTTAGTGGGGTATACGGACTGGTGGGCTAATTTCAAAAACATTTTTTAGCAATGTTTAGAGGGCAGATGAACAGTGAGATAGCTTTGTGTGAGAGAAGTAAAACCATATCAGAAATTTTAAATCCATCAAGACAGTACACAAGTTATATGGTAAAATTTCATATCCAGGGCATCAAGACAGTACACAAGTTAGACAGTAAAGTATCAAATCCAGGACATCAAACCAGCAAACAAGTTAGACAGTACAATTTCAAATACAGAGCATGAAGACAGTACACATTAGACAGTAAATTTTCAAATACAAGACATCAAGAGAATACGACAATAAAATTTCAAATCCAGGGCATCAAGGCAATACAAAAGATAGACAGTAAACTTTCAAATATAAGACAATACACATTAGACAGTAAAGTTTTAAATCCAGGGCATCAAGACAGTACATAATTTAGTCTATAATTAAATACATTCTACGTAGATGAGTTTCAAATTACCTCATATTGTTAGGATGGATTTAGAAAATGAAAATCAAATCTAATTTGGTAACTTTCTTTGAAGATGTTACATTTAATCTAGAAATGACTAATGCAGTAAAGTTCATGTACTGTACTTTTAGACTTTGAAAAAGCTTTTGATAAGATGACAATTTAAGAAAATTCATAGGAAAATTGCAGCTGTTGTGGCAGACAAAAAGTTAATTAATTTGATTAAGGATTGTTTGGGTGATAAAAGACAAAAACTTACTATAAATGGGATAAAATCACACTAGTTTAATGTTACAAGTAGTGAGCCTTAGGGTTCTGTGCTAGGTGAAGTCACAACATTTTAATGTTACAGGTAGTACACCTTAGAATTCTGTGCTAGGTGAAGTCACAGTATTTTAACGTTACAAGTGGTGTACCTTAAGGTTCTGTGCTAGGTGAAGTCACAGTACTTTAAAGTTACATGTGATGTACCTTAGGTGAAGCAACAGTAGTTTAATTTTTACAATAAGTGTACTTCAAGGTTCTGTGCTAGTTGCAATAACAGTAGATTAATGTTAGAAGTGATGTGTCTGAAAGGCTCTTTTGTTATTATTTATTCCAGCAATAACACTGATATATAAATAAACAGTGAGTTGGTTAGTTTTGCAGACTAAAAATAAATTAATGGATGTTCCAAATTGTACTAAAGGTACTGAAGTTTTGCAGGGAGATTTGGCATGTTTGGTGTACTGGGCTAATACCTGTCTTTTAATCTTAACAGGAATAAGGTTATACTTACTGGTTATCATAACATTAGTTATTCTTACTGTCTTGCAGGAAAACAGTACATTACATAAGAAAAACAGTAAAATTTGAATTCTTTGACAATGGTATAGTGTATAAAATTTCAAATTTGGAGAATCAATAATTAAATAGTTAAATTTCAAATGAGAACAACAACTCAGAATATTAAACTGTAAAGTTTAAAACTCAGGGCAACAATGCGGTATAAATCCAGGCAACAATGTGTTATAAATCCATTATTTGATAGAAAGCTTACATGACTTCAAACTAATGAGAAACTCTTTAATATTATTTAATAAAATTTAATTTTGGGGAAATAGTTTATCCTGTATATTTTAAAGAAAGCTTTTTCAGAATAAAAATTACAGTTTAATACTTGTCTTTGTTTATCAGCTCATGTCATAAGTTCAACAATGAATATCTTACCAGCCTGGGTGATCCAGTCTAAGTATCCCCTCAGATCTTCCTCTATTTGTTGCTTTTCTCGAAGTTTATGAAAATCACCTCTAGCTTTTGCTTTTTCTCTTTCTTTAGAAAACTCTCTGAAAAATATATCAAAATGAATCTCTTTAGAAAACTCTCTGAAAAATATATCAAAATGGATCTCTTTAGAAAACTCTCTGAAAAATATGTCAAAATGGATCTCTTTAGAAAACTCTCTGAAAAATATG